TGCTGCCCCAACCTGACTTTGTAGTTCTGTTTCTTACTTGCTTATTATTGATTTTGTTCTTGTCTAGGTTTATTTTTTATGATGTTTTTAATGTTCTGTTTCTCCCTCCAGGCCAGTATAAAGGACTTGAAGTACTTTTGAATAATCCCCCCCCCCAAAGAATTTCAGAAGTGCCATTATGATTTCAGTGTTTTATTCCCTTAAATTACTTCATATGCCTGTTTCCAGCACTGATTATCTTCATAATCTATTAGGGCAGAACGATTTGCAGTCATTCATATCCTGTGATTGGGCTATTTAATCATTAGCTCTCAGCAGTCACCCTGAGGCAAGTGGAAACAGCTCTGGGCAGGCAGCACTCTAAGGTCACTGGGAAAATCTAAAAGCAGGCGCTGGAGGTACTCTGCTGGCTTTTAAAGCAGCTACCTTATTAAATAGGGTTTGTATTGATATTGGAATGAAGACAATCTTTCCTACTTCGGGTCTTTCATTTGCTGTTGTACTTATATGTGTCTAGTATATGTTGTCGATTTGTGCTTTTATAATCTTTAATTTGAAAATACTTTGTCCTCATGGATGCCTTCATTTCCCCAGCTCTAAATGCAGATATTTAAATGACTGCAGTTGTGAGAGTAATCCACGGGTGGTATAAATGTACACCTTCTCCTTGACCTTGGGTCTGTGGGACTAGAACTGAAGTGATCTCCTCAGTCCCCTAAAAGAGACTGAATCAATGTGGCCAAGGGTGGGAACGTTTATCCAGAACCCAATGAAGAACCTGACTGTCTGAACGATGTATTGAGCCTTTCATGGAATTTTAAACCATCTAACAAATACGAAAATGTGGAGCTCTACAGCTCAAGAAACACAAATGTTTCTGAAAGTGACAATAAGTAACTGCTTTTTAAAGTGCTGCATATTTATACAACCGAGAGATTATTTTTGTAGATGAAATGTCTGTGAGCTGGGATGCGTGCGCAGTGCTTCAGACATTTAAACATCCTTTTTTTATTCCTAGGGAGATGCAAATAAACAGAACTCTTATTTCTTCGTCTTTACATATTGCTTTCTTTTTCCAAGCTTGTGTTACCTCTTGTGTTCTTATTTATTATAAAATCTTGTTGTCATGAACGTTATGATGTTCACTATAGATGAAGGAAACTCAATACCAGTTCTACTCTCTGAAAACTCCACTCCATTTCCGCCACCCCTCTCCACCCTTTTCCCTGTGGCTTTAACATAAGTAGTGATGTCTTTAAATGAGAATATAATTTGTGGTGTCTAAAATGATATTTTTTACCGGACAAAAAAAGTCTCCAATAAAATTTTTACTTCTCTTTCAATACTATCACTTTATTCAAATAGTTTTATTTTTTAAATCGATACGTGTGTTTGTGTCTGGGTATAGGAAACTGTGCTCACTTGAAGGTGTTCTTCCTAGAAAGGCCATTATAAATGTCTACTCTTGGAAGATCTTGAAATTAGACATATCCATATTTGGCAACTGAAAAAGAAACATTTCAGGCTGATCCCTTATCGCCTTCTCCGTGCAGACTCCGAACAGCATTTGAGGACTGCAAACCATAATTATACACCCTAAACCTCCAGACGCAATTTTTAGGCCCAATGAACTTTCTTTTTTGAGGCCTTTTTGCCACTCAGGGAAATGGCCGCTAAGGAACTGAGTACCTCATGTTGTTAGCGCCGAGGCACAGTTTAGTGGTTGCTAAGTTTTTGGTATGTAAGTTAAATACACATGGTTTAAACCCTCGCACAATATGTAAACTCTTCTGGCGGGAGGGCTCCCTTATGGGTCCGCTAGAGAAAGTGCAGGACCCAAGGTCCAGCGCTACTTTCGTTTTCTCTGGCCCGTCTTGATTTCTTTCCTATCTTGCATCGATGGTTGGCTGTGGGCGGCCCACTTCGTTTCCACTGACGGAGAGGGACAGAGAGACACAGAGAGGGAAATAGAGGCAGACAGAGAGAGAACGGACGACATTCAAAGTTTGGAAAAGAAATAACCCTGAAAAATGGGGACACATCCACCCGGACGTTCCACTTCCAGGAAGAGTTTCTACCATTTTCTGTTTTTCCTCGTAAGATGTGCTTTCATCGGAGGCAGGCCTGTTTTCCCTTCGTTTCCGACGTCGCTTTCCCTCCTTTTTTGTAAGTTCCAGACTCCAGGGCCGCACTCCATTTCCCAGGTCCATTTCTGAAGTTTCCTGTCGGATGCGGAGATTGCCTGGAGGTTTTCCTTTCACCCGTAGTTTACTGGTCAGTTTATCTCTGCCCAGGAAACATGGGAGGTTTGCTGAAGATTAAAACTGCTCAAATGCTCTCCGGTGGAATTTGAATTGATGGCTAAATCAAGAACAGATGAAGACTTCGCCATTTACATGCACTCCTTTTATATTCCGAATTGAGGAGGGAGGAGGGGAGCCGGTAGGTGGCCGGAGCGCTGGTAGGGAGGCCCACGGGGAGCCCAGGCGAAAGGAGCTTCGGAGAGAGGCCTTTCTTCGGGTGGAGACGGAGAGGCCGCGGGGAGAACGCCTCCGAAACCTAGCAGGTTTGGAGCGCCGATGGCGGAGAGTCGAGGCCCGCGCGTCTACGCGTGATTCAAGAGGCGAAGAAGGCTTTTGCAGCCGGGACGCGCCGCCAGACAAAGGGGCGGCCGCGACGCTGCCCCGTGTCCGGCAGCCTGCCGGATGCCTCTGACTCCGCTGTCCCCGCCAGTCTTGCTGCTGCCACGATCCCCGGCTTTCCGCGACGCTTGGCGGAGCCCGGCAGCGGGCCGTGACCGCACGGGCTGGCGACCCCAGGCCGGCTGTGCCGCCCTTCACTGTTGATCTTGACCGTGCGGCGGCGCCTCGCCAGGCGTGGAGCTCGCTCGCCATCTCCTGGGCGGTCGGCGGCATTGGCAGAACTCGCGGTTTAGCTTTGCGGCCAAATCCTCGCCCATTCTCCTCCAGTTCACCAGCCAAGCCTCCTGCCCTTCCCACCAACGCGCCCCCCTTCCTCCCGCCCCCCGCCCCGCCCCGCCCCGCCGCGCAGTCCTCAGCTCCCAGCTCGTAACTCCGAGCGTACAACTTTGCCCGCTGGACCTCGGAAATTACAAACGCAGGAGATAAGGTGGGGCGGCTGGACACCATTCTGAGCCAAAGAGAAATGAAGGGAGTCCAATGGTTCTAGTCTTTTCATTTCTCACTTTGTATCTTTAGTCCCCAGGGGTAAACCGCTGCTGTGCGGCTGCCTAAGGGTCCGGAGAAGACATCCCTGGACTCGGAAATACCGGAGCGTCGCTGTGTGCTGAGACGGGAGGAGATGCGACTGCAGGGATCCCTGGAGCTGGAGTTTTGGGGCCTGGGGAGGCTGTAGCTCCTGAAAAACAGGGAGAGTCTCCCAAAACGAGAGCCTGGATCCCCTAAGTCCCTAAGAACTGAGGTTGCAGCTATGCCTACACCTCCCCCCACCCCCACCCACCCCCGAAGGACGGGGAGTGGAGTTTTGTTTGTTTCTTCTCTGTGTCTGAGCTCCTAAGGAAACTCTGACAGAACGCAGAGGAGTCCGGACATCCCCATCCCCACCTCCTACCCCCGCCCTAGCGCAGGAGGAAGAGACCGACTGCGTTCCCCAGAGCCGCCCAATTGGTCGCCATAACTCACAATAAAGTCGCAGCGCGGTGGTCAGCCTTGCCCTCCGGCGGCGCCTGTGTGGTCTCCGTGCCGGAGCTGGCGGTCTAACCAATTCCAGCTTGGCTCGGGGACAGCGAGGCGGGCTGCATGTTGGGGTGGCCGCCAGTCACGCGGCCGCTGGGGTTCTTGGGACCGAGGCAGAAGAGGAGGACCCATAGCCCTCTGGCCAAGCTAAACTGGAGGGCCTGCGGAGGAGGCTGCCACATTGCTCCCGGCGAGGGAGAGCCGCCCCTCCTGTTTGCGGCCCTGTTCGCCAGAACCCCGAACCCGCCAGCGGCCTTGGAGGCGCTGGGCAGAGCAACGCCGCTAGCCTGCTGCCTTGGCGGGCCGTCCTGTTCCCCGCGGGATGATTCTGGCTCGTCTGTCCTTCCACACCAGATCCGGGGAGTTCGTCCTGCTCTGCCCGCTGCAGAGGACTTGAAGAGCGTGGAGTTCTGGTTGGCAGCATGTAGTCGCTAAGGTGACTCCTGGCAAAAAAAAAAAAAAAAAAAAAAAAAAAAGAATGTAGCCTTTGGCCACGATTGACCAATGCAGCTGCCCCTTTCTGGGCCAGCGTTCTCCACGGACCGGGGATGGCCGCAACTTTCCTGGGAGCAGAGGGCTTGGCCATAGAGAAGCACGCCAGAATTGGTTTGAAACCACTTTCCTGGGCACCAAACATGGGCAGATTTGTGATGCATTTCTCCTCCATCAGCAAACCTTTGGACTATGTCGGGTTCAGGCGGTGTGTGGGTTCTCGCGGCAACATGACCAATGTGGAATCCTCCCCAGAGGGACAGGGGCAGGAAAGAATCGGCCTAGGAGTAGCATAGCTCGGGCCTAGGGACAGAGCTGGTGGCCCCACCAGACAGTGGGCTCTCTGGACAAGCCTCGCTAGAGGTGCACAGTACTGGAAAAGGCCTTAGCTGCAACTTAAAGCTCGTGGAAGCAAGCCTGGCCCAGGTAGCTGGTGGAAACGGGGAGTGCAAAGCCAATCAAGATCAAGAGGGATCCCAAGGGACACTGGGGCAAAGGCACCCAATGTCCCCAGCTCCTGCAGCTGAGCCCGGAAACTCACAGTGGTTTCACCTTCGTTCCACGTGCCTCGATTCTTCTGCCTGGCAGCCTCGTCCTTCTCCATCGAATATTGCGGGAGTTATCATAATACCCTGAAGGGGGGGAAAACGGGTCGGGGGATGTAGGCGGTGCTGAAATGTCCGGCTTTGAAGAACCTGCAGGCAAAGTTTCGTCCAATCGTCTGAGCCTGTCCTCTTATTCCCGGTTGTAACTAAATACTGCTGCGAGCGCAGCTGAAGCCCTTTGTTGGAGATGTGTGAGCGCAGTCTCTACAGAGCGGGCTATGTGGGCTCGCTTCTGAATCTGCAGTCGCCTGACTCCTTCTACTTCTCCAACCTGAGGCCGAATGGCGGCCAGTTGGCCGCGCTCCCCCCCATTTCATACCCGCGAGGCGCGCTGCCCTGGGCCACCACGCCCGGGTCCTGCGCCCCAGCGCAGCCTGCCGGTGCCACCGCTTTCGGCAGCTTCTCGCAGCCCTACCTGGCCGGTTCCGGGCCGCTTGGCCTACAGCCCCTGGGCGCCAAGGATGGACCCGAAGAGCAGGCCAAGTTTTACACGCCCGATGTGGCCGCGGGGCCGGAGGACCGTGGCCGTGTGCGGCCGCCCTTCGTCCCCGACTCTAGCCTGGCCCCCGCGGCCGCTGCTCTCAAAGCGGCCAAGTACGACTACGCGGGTGTGGGCCGTGCGGCAGCGGGCTCTGCAGCCCTGCTCGAGGGGACCCCCTGCGCTGCCGGCTTCAAGGACGACACCAAGGGCCCGCTCAACTTGAACATGACAGTGCAGGCGGCGGGCGTCGCCTCTTGCCTGCGACCTTCGCTGCCCGACGGTAAACGGTGGCCATGCTCCCTGGGCCAATTTGGGCTGGGCTGGGAGGTGGGGTGCAGGGGCGAGTGTGTAGAGGGAGGGAGCCGCTGGGGGCGGGCAGACAACAGGGAGCAGCTGGCAGGGCTGACCTGGCTTGGGGCTGTGTTGCAGGCCTGCCGTGGGGGGCGGCCCCAGGGAGGACCCGCAAGAAGCGGAAACCCTACACCAAGCAGCAGATTGCGGAGCTGGAGAACGAATTCCTCCTCAACGAATTCATCAACCGCCAGAAGCGCAAGGAATTGTCCAACAGGCTGAACCTCAGCGACCAGCAGGTCAAAATCTGGTTCCAGAACCGGCGTATGAAAAAGAAGCGCGTGGTCCTGCGCGAGCAGGCGCTGGCGCTATACTAGCCCCCGGCGTGGCCGCGGCTGGCCGGGCCTGTCCTTTCAAGCCGAGGCCTGGCGTGGAGGAAGAACTGGGGCTTTTCTTTCCGCTCCTTCTCCGCTGGTCCCAAGGACCCTCCTGCTCAGTCCCACAGCCCAGGAGCCCTGGCGAGTTGGGCCTCCACGCTTGCCGATCTCTCGGAGGGGCCTGCAGAAGTTGCAGCACAACCTTGGCCTTGAGGCGCCCCGAGTGGGGGCCTGGGGTCACCTGTCCTAGCTCTTGGCTGGGGCATTTACACGGGGGCTCACTCTAGCACCCTTGTACTTGGATTTCTGCTTCCACAGAGACTCCCTTTCCTTTTCTCCCCAGTCCTATTGTAATTTAGCAGACACCTCACTAGAGCGCAGAATGGCATTGAATTTAAGAAGTCCTCCGGGAAGGAGTAGAAAGGGCTGCGGGTACAATTCTGTCTCTTTGCGGCCAAAGCTCCTTCTGGCAAAGCCAGAGTCTTGGCTCTGAAGTGAGGAAAGGGCGCCGCCCCCCTCCTGTCTGCCCTCGCTGGTTCCGGAGGACAAAAGCGACCCTAGACCTTCAGACTTGGGGAGGAAAGGCTAGGGGAAGGGTGGGGTGGCCAGACAAACTCATGGACACCTCTGAGTTTGAGCTGGGCTAACCCTCCCAGCTGGATAGAATGGAGAGGCTTCTTCCTTCCCATGGACTCGAGCAGGGAGGCTCGGTCTCCACCGCAAACTGAAATCTCTAGACAGTACTGGTAAAACTCCCCTACTTCTCTCTCCTCACACACACCCAGGCCAGAGCCCTGCACTCTGTAACTGGACTCGGCTCTGGTGAGGACAGCTGCTAGTCTGCTTGGAGGCTGGGGTGCACTAGAAGGTGGGGAAAATACCCAGGGGGATGAGACCGGGGCGAGAAGGGTGTCCTACCTTCCAACTGTAAATATGGCTGTCCTGTCTAGGTGGGTAAGGGTGTGGACATGCCTTTCTTAAACTAGAATAACGGGCTACTGCAGGGAGAGGTGAGAGCCCCTCTAGTAGTCAGGGGGCGAAGGAAGAGGCCCTTCAAATCCTCAGCCCCTGGTCGCTGCTCTAGACCAGGTAGAGAGAAGTTCCCCTCGCTCACCCTCTTCGCCACCGGACAACTCCGCAGGGGCCTTTCTGTGTCTCAGCGCTGTGCCCTTTCTGAGCCCATGTCTGGCCTGCCTCAGTGGAGCCTGTAAGGCCTTGGGCCCTGCTGGGCTTGCTTTGTCTCAGCTGGGTTCCTGAATGCCAGATGGAGTTGTTTTGCATGTGTTGGGGGGTCTTGCCTTAACCTCAGTGAGACTGAGCACTTCCCCCCTCCGGTTCCTTCTACCATCCCTACCTCTTTTCCCTCTTCTTCTGAGAAGTAGCGCCCCCCCACCACCACCATCAACAACAACTGGGATGTATGACAGCCAAAGAGTCGATTCCTTCCCAAAGTCCGATGACTTATTTTTAGTGGGGGACTAGGCCCTAGATCTGGAGTGGGCACCCCACAGAGCCCCAAGCCTCAACCCAACTGACCTCAGCTGATGTTTAGATTAATTGCGTTTTCTCTGCTATCTAATAGTTGTGCATGTTTTATGTTGTTTTGATTTTTTCAAAAAAAAAAACCCCACAATAGCTTGTACATATCAGATACATAGAAATGTTTTGAGTGGAAATAAATATCCAAGTCCCAGCCAAGCTGTCAAGGGACCGATGTCAATTTTTCAAAAACGATTCAGATTCCCTCCTAATGATTTTAGGCCAGCAAATTCGTTTCTCTTTTCTGGTGGTGGTTTCACTGTGGGTGTTGACTGTTCATTACATGAGAAAATGGCTTCCAAATCAGTCAGAAAATGGTGCATAAAAGCCTATGAACAAAGTGTGTATGAAACATCCAAGTGGGGGGATTGGGGGTCGGACTGTGGGCAGATCTGAGCGTGTCTCACACGTTAAGTGTGAGCTTGTTGCACGCCAGGGCTTCTGTATTTTGCCTCCATTCCCCACTTTTAAAGCTTGCTATTATGGGGAGGAGGTGCTTGACAATACATGAGGCTCCTCAGATCTCAGTACAAAGCATCTCTCCTTGCCATGTTTTGGTCAGGCTTCTTTCAAATAGGCTATGCCCTCCATGCTGGCACCTCTGCCTGGAGCCCAGCACATTCCCTTGGGGAACGTGGGCTCCGCACCCTATACGCCTTAGGAGCCTCTAGCTGAGGCCAGGAAAGCTGCCACCCTCTTGCAGACCCCAACTCCCATCTAGCTCTGAGATGGAAACTAGAGAATTGCCAGCTTTTAGCAAGTGGAAGAATTACCAAGGACCACTAAATCTCTAAGACCAAGTTTTCATGGGTTCCAACTCCCTTCCTGAAGCCAATTTGATGGGTATATTTAAAAATATTTTTAAAGTAGCTATTTTAAGGAAACTACATTGGTGGGGGGTGGGGAGAGAAGCAAGCAGCCCTATCTTTAGAAATGTTTTTCCCACCTGATGGGCTCAGGTAGGCGGTGGTACCCCAAGCTGGATATCTCCCCCAGAACAACGGAAAAAAGGCCGAGGCCACACTCAGACCTCAGGTCCCGAAAGCTGGGTAAAGGACTAGGAAACCGGACTTAGATGCAGACCCTACAATAACACAGAGAGACAGTTTCTTTCCAATGTATATCATTAAATCACCATGTTCTTTCTCTTTAGCCTGGGATGTGGGGTGGGAGGAGAAATTCATGGAGACCACTCCCCAAAGAGATTGAAAGGATTCTAAGTGTAAAATCTTGACTGTTGATTGGGGCTTCAGCAGTGTTTTTCAAATCTATCCCTTTTACTGACCCGCACAAATACAAAGGCGGTGGTGTCCTCTCTCCTTTCCTAGCCGAAGTCCTATCAGGGATTTGGAACCACGACGAAATTCGTAAGAAACAAACGCCGAGAGAAATGATGCTGAAATCTGAGTGCTCAACATTCCCTCGCACAAAGACAAATGCGTCCTCCGAAATGCTGCAGTCCAGGCAGGCCTCTTGACCAAGAAAAGGGGTTTTAAAGGAGAAAAATGGCTTCGTCTGGCGTTCAATCGGCTGCGAGCTCAGAGGGCCAGCTCAGAGGGCCGACCGGGGGACTCTTAAGGCCTGGGGGCTCTTCCCGAGGGAGGCGGGCTGGGGAGGCTTCCGGGAGGCCGGCGGGTGGAGGAGAAATTCAGAACCGTTGTAAATATTCATGCCTGCGGGGGGGGGGTTGCCTCTTCACCCCGCCTCTCCCAGCTGCATTCAACCCCGCTTTGCGGGGGGGGGGGGGGGACAGCGCCTGTCCGATCGTCCTTGGACAAAGGTGATCTCCCCACATTTTTGTTCTCCAGTCATTTGACTTAGGGAGTCCATTCCGAAGGTTCTGCTGGGAAGGGACTGGCTCTGGGTGTTTCCCCCCCCGCATTTCTCCTCTTCTTTCGTTTCCTAAAAGAGCATAAATAATTAAAGTTTGGCAGGGAGGAAAAGCTTTCTTGCAGAACTGTAGTGGCAATAAATGAAATGACTCAGAATCCCTTCCCCAGTCAGCTTTTACGAGGGCTGCCAGACAGTGTCTGTTCACGTTCTCCAGATACCAGGGGCGCCCTGACAAAGTTAAGGTCAAGTTAGTGTCTTATCTTGGGTGGCTCAAAATTACCGCATCGCGTCTGGGCGCTGCGCGGAAAGCTACCACTCGCGGAGCAGCTGGATGTGCCGGGAGGGTCGGATGCGCTCTCTGTGCTTCGAGTGGGGCCTCGCAGGCAAGGACAAGGCCACAACGCCGGAGTCTTCATGGTAGGTTCTCGCGGGACGCGCGGGTCGGGAAGCTGCGGTTTTCCTTAGGTTTCGGGGCGAGGATCGACGAGGGAGCTAGGGCGGGCGAAAGGCCGAAGAGGGCCAGGCCGAAAATGAAAGCCCAAGGTTGGGCGTGGGGGCGGGGGTTCGCGCTAATGCGCAGAGAGGGGTCCGCTGCCCCTTCCCCTATGCACCCGCGCGCCGCTGCAGATGGCGCACCCTCCCCCGCCAAAGCGCGGCTCCAGGAGGAGCCGCCATCGCCATGTCGTTGAACTTGAATGGTTCCGTCCTCCCCATTTCCCTCTTCGGCGGTCATCAGGCTCCGCTTTGGGGGGCAGCGGGCTGCCTGCGCCCCACCCCGTGCGAAGAGAAGGTGCGAGAATTTTCCGCACTCCCAGACCCATAAAGACTCGGCTGGCGGGGCGGGGGTGGGGGGGGTGGGGGCCGCAGCCGCTGCCCTGGGTCCTGAGCGGCCGCAGGGCCAGTGTGCAGTGTCCGGGGAGCCATTTTAGGAGAGAGATCCAGGGGCGTCGACCACAAGAGAGCCCGAAAGGGAGAGGCTCGGGCGGGGGATGGAGATAGGAGGCAGATAAGTGTGTTGGCGGTCTGGACGGAGGAGAAAGGGGCGAGCGGGAATCTGAGCGAGGGTGCCAGCTGGGAGGAGGGTGCACAAAAGGATGGGTAGTTTAGGGGGCTGGGGGAGTCTCCTTGCCCTCCAGTCGCCACCGACCTGTTTGCGCAGCGTTCGGAGGAAAGCAGAGGTGGGAGGGGGGCGGAGGAAGAAGAGTGGGAGGGAGAAAAGGAGGGAGGCGGAAAAGAGGAGGGGGGGGACATCGGCCAGAAAATAGATATGAGTTCTGATCACCCGCCTTTTCTCTGTCTGTCGGTATGGTGGGCAGAGCTCACCACACGGGCACTGCGGCAGCCGGGGCCAGGGAGGGAGCCAGCTTCACAGCCTGCGTCGCCTGCCCTGAGCGTAGGGTTGAGGCCCAGAACCCAGTTCTGGGATTGCCTGGGCAGAGGAATCTCGGGGACAGGGGCAACTTCTTGCCCTCGGTTCTGGGATTTGGGTTTGGGGAGCTTCTTTCTGAGAGGCTGATTTTTTTCCCTTGGAAAGGGCTGGCTCTCCCGGAGGTGGGAGTCCAGGCCTCGCCTGCCCCCACCCCCGGGTTAGGAAAGAGGGACGCGGCGGTAGCGGAGGAAAGGGAGGC